CACCCGTTCAACAATAAGTTCATTTAACAGCCATGACAAAAAGTGTAAAATCTGGCACATTCACACTTTGTCCCAATTAATGACCGCTAGGTCTTAAGACTAATTGCAAGCTCAATTACAGTAATTAGGTTGAAGACTACTTTTATTTCTGTCATATAGAAGTTGCTCCATTGCTCATAAATAGTAGAAAAAGGTGGAAAAAATCCTTTTTGTGGGATGTTAGTTTGTAGATAAGACAATAACTATGGCAGAGAGATAAGGGAAAGTTTTCTTTTATAATGTTCTATCACCATTGCAGTTTTCTAAATTACCACAGTTGTTTAATATACCAAGAAGCTGCCAGCAAGACAAAATCTGCTTAACTTGACAAATGTTCTGCAGAAGATCATTGCTGGAAATAATAATGCCAGAGTACGAGCCTTGAAGTCTTTATAGGCATTGAGGTCCCAATAAAGGCGACATTGATAGTCTATGCAAGGAGTTTTTCTTTAAACTAAAGGATATGGTTAACAACTGTTAACTTAATCTAAAACTGCCTTTTTTTCTTGATTCTGCAATTATAATAGATCAAGATCACTAAATATTTACTGGTCTGGACTTTTTAATGTGATTGTTTAAATGAATAATTTACTGGAATTACATTGTTTTGTTTTAGGACTATGGCAAAGAATCTCAGGCCAAAGATGTCATCGAAGAATACTTCAAATGCAAGAAATGAACAAATAAAATACATTTGAGTTGACATTATTTTGTATTTTGCTGGTTTATGATGAGTCTTTCAATTATTTATATAAGTGTCACCTCCGTCCGCCAGCATCTGCCCAGAGCGCGTAAAACCCCCAGGTCCTTTTCTGGCCTTCCCTCGGCCCGGCCACACCTTGCTGGCTACAGCTACAGCCCAGGGCCTTCCGCCCGCTCACCAGGCTTTCCACGCTGTCCACACCCTCGGCTGTCCCCTCAAGCCTCCTGTAGGTCCGCCAGGACATCAGCAGCCTGCTCTCACCTCCTGGAGCCCTCCATGTCTTCCGGAGGCTTTCCCGACACCCAGCTGCTGTGGCTGAAGGTGCAATGATGTGACCAAGTAATATTTAAAAGACTGGCCCATGTCTGAGCTCTTGGCAACTGGCTTGCATTTATGATGATTGCAAAATGCTACCATCACCATTTGTGACCTTTCTTGGTGGCTTCCCACAAGCAAATTCAGATTTATTTAAGAAAATTTATAAGGCTGCCCAACTCACTCCAGGTGGCTTATTCCTGAAGAGTCGTTTACGTGCTGACCTAACTTGAACTTTTATTTTTACAAAACAGTTGTAGCCTGCTGTGGTTTACTTACAAGCAAACTTTCCAGAAGTCACAATTAAATGAAGTGTTTAAGAATATTTCAGCTGGAATGAGCTACAGAGAAGTCCCACGATAATCACTGAGGAGTGATTCTAAAGTTAGGTTGCTCAAGTAGCGATTTTTTTGGTGCTGAATTGGAATAATCAGAATTTGAACTACTACATATTTTGTTAATATTTTATTTAAAATTACAAATTTGGAACTGGTACAAACCATAATGAACTACAGAACTGGGATACATTTATGTTTTTGCATCTTTTCTGTATTTATTCCTGGCATGAATTCTGTATAGATTCAATTCCATAAAAAGAAAATCCTGTTGATTAAAGAGATTTTTGTACAGAAATTAGGCTTGAAAAAACATTTCTGAGAGTAGGAA